CACTTTTTCTTTCTTGATATTGATGTTGGTTGTTATAGTTCTCTACCATGATGTCCCATAATAATAATATGGGACCCATTATCAGTGATGGCGCTACTTTAGGGCGTATATATACCCATTGTGATAATCATATAAACATTTGCCATGTAAATTGTCAAAGCATTAATCCTCTATCACAGTATTCTAAAATTGATGAACAAAGAGATTTATTAACTAATTCCAACGTACATGTAATGGGTCTTTCTGAAACGTGGCTCAAACCAGACATGCCTAATGAATCATTACATGTACCAGGATATACGTTATATAGAAATGATCGACCCTACCCTACCAGGGGTGGCGGGGTTGGTCTCTTAGTGTCGAATAGGATAAAGTGTAGCCATGTCTTCTCTTCCAATGCATATAATTTATGTGAAGCTATTTTAATTGAAGTTTAGAGTCACAACACTTCTATTTTAATAGGTACTATTTATCTTCCCAATGGAGATCTTAATGCATTGGAAGATACGCTTGGAGAAATATTTTCTCAGTACGAAAATATAATGATAATGGGTGACTTTAACTGTAATTTATTTGATCCTCTGAAATCATCTATTTTTAGGTCTCTTTGCAGAAGGTTAGGATTATCTTATAAATACAACTCTTTGCCCACCCACTGGGATTTACCATAATACAACCTCTTTGATTGACTTTTTTCTTGTTGGTGGTCAATGTAACATTTCCTTATCTGGTCAGGCGTCAGTTCCGTTTCTGCAGTCTTATCATGCCTTAATTTACATTTCATTGCCTTTCACCACATCTAGAAATGATAGCTACATCGAATACAGAAAGTTTGATGATACTGACATCAATATCATTAGAACTCATGTTGATCAATTTAACTTTTTCTCATTTTACAATAATAATTCTGTAAATTATAAACTAAATATTTAAACTCTCTTCTGTCCGAATTGTATCAGTTTGTTCCGATCATTAGATTTAAAATTAAAAGGAAAAAAGATCCATGGATGAGAAAGAGAGAAGTTATTGTAGCTAGGTCTCTTAGAAATCGTGCTTACAGAAAATTTAGAGACAGTGGTATAGATGATGATCGCATAATTTACTGTCGCCTAAGAAGCTGAAGTCGTTAATTCGAAAATTTAGAAGACTTCACTATATTAATATTTTTGATAATGCTGACAACAGAAAAATGTGGCGGGATGTGGCAACGGATATATATCTAACTTTTCAGAAATTGATATAAACACTTTGAATCGGTCTTTTGTTATAAATAATAATGTTACTAATGTATTTGATTTCGTATCTTTGAGTGGACATACTGACGGATTTTCATTTAAACCCATATAAGCGGATGAACTACTTTTTGCCCTATCCAAAGTTAAATCAAATTACATTGGAACTGATGGGTTTCCAATTAAATTTGTTAAACTTGTTTTTCCATGTATTTTACAGCCTGTTTTGCATTTATTTAATATGATAATTACTACATCTACTTACCCTCAACAATGGAAACTTTCCCGCGTCGTTCCTGTACCTAAAAGAGACTCCGCTACTGAATTTAGGCCAATAAGCATTTTACCTGCTATTTCTAAAGTCATGGAACACGTTTTAAAAATTCAAGTTCTTGATTATATTTCTCAACACAATCTCATTAGTGATATTCAGTACGCATACAAAACAGGACACAATGCTTATAGGTATAACCGAAACTATCAGAGATTACTTAAATAAAAACAAGAGTTGTGTCATGGTTTCCTTAGACCTTTCTAAAGCTTTTGACCGTCTAGATCATTCAGTTCTTATTCGTAAGTTAAGAGAAAAATTTAGGTTCTCTGTAATGGCTTGTAGACTTATTAATTCTTACTTACAAGGAAGGTCTCAATATGTTAGTGTACAAGAAATCTATTCGGACATTGTCAATATTACATGTGGAGTCCCACAGGGATCTATTATTGGACCTATTCTGTTTCTTTTATACATGAATGACTGCACTGAATGTTTTGATTCGAACTTGGTAACGCCATTCATTTATGCCGACGATATACAGCTTTTGTTTGGTGGCTTCAGGGAGTTTCCTGATGTTTTGGAGGCCATTATAAAATTTACTCTTGATAGTCTGTATGATTGGATGATGCTTAACTCTTTTGTAGTAAATACTGATAAGACCAAGGCTATAATGTTTCGCACAGCTCGTAGAAATTACACTTATCCGAAAATTGAATTATGCAACAAACAAATTGACTATGTTGATTCTATTAAATGTCTTGGTGTGGTAATGGACCAATTTCTAGAATTTGATGAACAGATTGATATTGTATCATCTCGTTTAACTTTTGCACTCAAACGACTATACCACTCTGGTTTATACTTGCCCACAAAAGTTAAGTTTACGCTAGCCCACGCATTGTTAATGTCACATATAAATTACTGTATTGAGGTCTACTCTGGTGTCAGTTCTCTTATCTTATGTAGAATATTTCGTGTGATCAAGAGAATTGTACGGTTTGTCTATTGTATTAAATACTATGAACACATATCTAATGCTATTAATAACTTTCTATCCTGTTCTTTCAAGCAGTATATAAAAGTCCGTAATTGAATATACTTTTAAAAATCGTTATATACGGCACACCATTATATCTTCATAAAAGATTTATTTTTTCTAGATCCACCAGAAATCCACAAATTATTTTACCGCTTATAACGTGTTCTGTCTATGAACGATCGTTCATTGTAAGAACTGCAAGATACTGGAATATCTTACCTAGTGATCTTAGAAAGTTTTCTTTTTCTTGCAGGTTATTTCGTAAACGCCTTCTCGATCATTTTAATTATCAATAAATTTATAATGTCTACCCTAATAGTAAGTGTTATAGAATGAGCGTAAGCACTGATATGGAGTCTTAAACAAATTTTATACTTACATCATATCGAGAAATTAGGAGTGTACATTTCAATTTTCTATTATAATAAATTTTAACCTCAGCAAACTTTATTATTTTTTTTTATACATTTCATTGTACTAATTTTGAATTATTCATAATATGTTAAATAACAGAAACATGTAAAAAAAAAAATACTTTAAGATACATATGTAATACGTTATTGGCCGCAAAGGCTTTTAGTATTACTGATAAATAAATAAAAAATAATAAATTAAAAATTGAATTAAAAATTAAAAATTGAGCCTACCGCCCATATATGTTTATGGTTTAAAATAGTAGAATTAGACGAATGTTACAGTAACGAACAATTGCGCTTACGTTTCTGCATAATAAATATTGGGCTACGAGGTGTGTTTTATATTTTTCAATTCATCCGTCCGAAATATGTTTTGTACGAAATATTCATTTACATAAGTAAATTTTAGTTGGTCATGCCGGTACATGAACACCGCAATAAATGGATAGGTATATCACTTATATGCAGGTTTAGCACAGCGAGGATTTAATGATATTCTTCTTTTTTGGGTTATTCTAACCAATTAGGAAATAGTAGTGTAAAGTGAAAACTGTAAGTTGAATAGGTGATGGTTATATGTTATATAAAAATAGATAAAAGTTGAAACTGCTAAATATAAATCATGTCTTTTGGGATGAAGGGTGTTTAACCGTACTTAGCTATTTATCGTTTATTATTCATCTACTTGCTGTTAAACTTACATATATTAACAAAAGACTGAAATTTATAGTTTATTAATGTGTTCTTTAAACAGTACTTAAAAAATATATGAAAAATTAAGGCGTTAATGTCTTATTATGCATATACAAAATCAGTGTGTAATTGAAAACCAATGCATATCGTTACGGCCTCATAGAATATCTACTATTAAATTCTATTAGAAGACATTAAAATTTATTAAATGTAGGTCTGCTGAAGTCTTTGTCGAGTGTTATAAGGGAGAATTTATACAGCATATACCTGATGGACATCCAAATAAAATTTATTTAGAATTAGATAAGACTTTATTTATTTTAAATATTTTTATTGTTTTGACAAATTATTTAGAACATTTCCACTCTGTATTTTGAACAGCTAACATTTCTTTACTGGTGTGTACAGTAGAGTACTCCAGCATTGTGAACGTAGCGTAAATATGTAGGGGATAATACGTCGATAGAAGAAATGTTCGTTATTTTTTATTTTTAAAATAATTAAATTACTTTTGTAAAACGAGTTGTATAACTAATTTTGACAATTGAGGTTTTAAACTTCTGATGGGACTTTTACTAAAACCCATCACATTTTCTAAAAGAAAACATTAATCAAAGCAAATTATACGCTTTAATAATATCAATAAAGTTAATTTTTTACCACAGTTTTGAACTACAAAAAAAGGTTTTATTTAAGCGTATTTATGTAATTTTTCCAGCATTGGTTCTGGTCGAATTTCGACCGCTGGGCGATCTCTAGTTTTTATAAATGACCATGCGGCTTTAAAAATAGGTAGTTGTGCAAATCGAGCCCGCACTGTAATTGAATATAGTATTCAATAATAAATATTAAGTTTACTAGCACAAACTATTTGTTTATACATTAATTTTAATTATTATTATATATTTATTTATTTTCTATGTGAAAATTTCCGAAAATCTTTCAAAATTTGTTTTATAAAATAATAATTTTGAATTATTATGAAGAATAAATTTAAAACCTTCTATGGCCTATATGTTAGGTTATAGAATATTGTTAAATAAATATATTTGGATTTCAATACAGATATAAATTAATAATACAAATGGTCAGAGTTTGATTTTTAAATTATGTGTGAGAGAGCTGGTTTTTAACATGAATCTATGTATGTATTTTTAGATTAAGTAGTCTGATTATTAAGTGCCGTTTGATCTTTCATTTGCTCATTAATATCAATACGGAAACTTTTCGTACTAAACAAAGTCACATTTAAGAATTATCAGTAATATATTTTATGCAATTCATGCATAAATACATATTTTACTAGACTATTTTTATTTTTTCATATGTATTTTTATCTTTTGAAGAGGACTCTCTCCATCAACGGTGAAACATGAAAATCAAGATGATGGGTATGAAACTAGTGCTGGAGATGTTCTTACGCCAAACTCACATGCATCATCCACACATTCAGTAACACCCCAACATCACATGCAACATGGGGGACTTGTAAAAAATGTTGTAAAGAGTGAGGACCAACAGCAAAGTATACGACTACAACAGCAATCACAACATAATCCTCATATAATTAATGATCGAAATCAGAATATACAACAAGAATTGGTAACCAGTGAATCGACGGTGAACATTACACCTAGAGATCCCTATAACTTTATTGATGACGACCTAAACTCAGCCACAAATAATAGTTTGCGTAACATTTTGACGCCTCCACATTCTCACCCGCGTAGCAACCAAGAGGGTGGTCCACTAAACGGATTTATGGTTATGCAATCGGAAGCCTCAGCGTCGGCTAGCCTAAATCCAAGCTCTGATATGTACGCGTTAACAAACACAACTGTTCATCATCATCATTCACAAAAGCCAACCTGTCTGGAGACAAATTCAACTACTTCAAGAACAAATACAGACCATCAACAACATTTTTCCGAGATATCCGCCGATATTTCAGTGCAGGAACAACAGGATGCCATTTTAAACCTACAGACAAAATCAGTTCAAAAAAGACGGGGTCGTAAAAAAAAGGTACCGGATGGTGCGTTGCTACCAGCGCTAGAAAGGTAGATATTTTTTAGTAAAATGATTTTTTAGCATTGAAATTGTTATTTTTATTTTAAAGGGCAAACCCAATTGATGTTAACCCGATTGCTGGATTTACGAAAGCAAAAGAACGCAAAAAACACGATCGTTTTAATGGCATGTCTGAAGAAGAAGTGGTAAAACGCATTTTGCCGGATCATTTGTGCGATAATTTAGATATTGTTATAGTGAGTGTAAATTTCATTTTATAAAATTCTCGTTTATATACAAATTATGCTGAGTTTTGTATGAATAGAAAAAATATTTAAAAATATACCAAAATAAAATAAAAAATATTTCTTGCTAAAGAAACGTAAAATTAGACAGATCCGCCCACTGGCACGCCTACCTATCATTAACCAATTATGTTAAAGACTGGATCTTTAAAAATAATTTTGTATATTTTTATACCCTTCACCTTCGTGAGAAGGGTATATATAAATTTATTATTCCGTTTATAATTTCCACAATATAATTTTCCTGGCCTATGAAGTATATATATTCTGGATCCTTATAGATAGCGGAGTCGATTAAGCCATGTCCGTCTGTCTGTTTGTCTGCTGTTGAAAATCTTCTGAGGACCTCAAAGATATGAGAAAAAATCCGAGACAACCTCTGAAAATTTCACCAAAACAAAAAAAACGTATGTTTTTGATGTCTGTTGGTTGCATTACTTTGCGTATTTTGTTTTTTTTTTATACCCTCCACCACATCAGTGGTGATAGAGGGTATATATAACTTTGTCATTCCGTGTGTAACACCAAGAAATATTCATCTGAGACCCAACAAACTATATATATTCTTGGTCCTTATAAAATTCTGAGTCGATTTATCTATGTCCGTCTGTCTGTGTAAAACACGCTCACGTAAAAACGAAGTGAAATAAATTATTGAAATTTGGCCAGAATATTCCCTATTGTCCTAGGCAGTTTGGTATTGAAAATGAGCAAAATCGGTTTACATCGTGAAAAGTTATGAATAAAAATTCAAAACAACTCCGAAAAAAATAAGCATTTTTTACACATTAAAATATAATTTTCACTAAAACTATGCAATATAATTCCATGAAAATCATCAAACATTTGTTTTTACACGAGAGCTTTATTCCTGTTGAAAATTGCCGGAATCGGTCCATAATTTCTTATACCTCCCATACGAAAGTACATATTCCCGGAAAATGAGTTTATTGTTAATAACTTCCCTCAGAATGTTGATATCTTAACAAAATTTCACAAATTAAAATTCTATGTCAATTCATATAGAGAAACAATTTTCTAGATCGGTCCATAATTGGTCATAGCTCCCATACAAGGTCCCCTCCCGAAAATCATTCAAACGCACATAACTGATTACTAAATTAAGATATCCAAATAAAATTTGGTACTAGTATTGCTCTTATATACAAAAATGTTACTGTGAAATTTTTTTCCGATTGGTCCATAATTGGTCATAGCTCCCATACAAGGTCCCCTTCATAAAAACACTTAAAGGCACACAACTCATTACCAAATGGTGATATCCATAAAAAATTTTGTCATAAATACTATTTTTGTACACAGAAATATTATTTAAAATTTTTTTCACGATCGGTTCATATTTGGTCATAGCTTCCAAACAAGGTTCCCTCCCGAAAATCAGTTAAACGCACATAACTCTTTACCAAATATTGATATACATACATTTAGCACAAATATTGCTCTTATATACATAAATCACACTATACAATCTTTTTTCGATCGGTCCATATTTGGTCATAGCTCCCATACAAGAAAATGACTTAATGCACAATATTCATTACCAAATAATGATATAGTTACAGAATTTAGCCAAAATTTTGTCTATATATACATTAATGTTACATAACTGGTCATAGGTCCCATACAAGGTCCTCTTACGAAAATCTCTTAAACGCTCATTACTCATTTCCAAATAAAGCTATTGATACAAAATTTTGCACAAATATTAGTTTTGTATACAAAAATTATATTTTAAGATTTTTTTTCACGATCGGTTCATAATATGTGTGCGATCGGTCCCATACAAGGTTTCATGACAAAGATGTTGTTTAATCAGAGCTGCAAGTGATGACGAAGTGGTTCGATTTAGGTGAAACATGCATGATTTTAAAATAAGCGTGTCATTGGAGATCATGTGTTTATGCAAGAATTTCGAATAATCGAACCAATGCAAATTCGATGATTCGAAAACGATGTTTCATTGGTTCAAGCTATTTGTTTTGTATGTATTTTTGGAAGATATTTTAAATATTTTTAAGGAAAATATTATAATAAATATGGGAAAATATATAAAATAATATTAATAATCAAAAATATCTATAATAACACATAAATTTCATTTGATTAAATTAACAATCTCAATTTTTGAAGATTTAAAGACATTTTTTAACTGAGGAATAAGTTGAATTTATTAAGGCATTTATAATCAGTTGTATTAGCACTGTTATTAAAGAAGTCATGATACTTACATTCACTTTGCACTACTACAATTTTTTTTGCTGGGAACTTGTTTTTGTTTTGTTTCGTTTGGACTTCTTTTTGGTTTCATTGCTTTGTGTATTTTTTGTGTTTTGTTTCGTTTGGCGTTCTTGTTGTTTGTTTTGTATTGCTATTGCTAAAGTAATGGCAGAGTCGGGAAAAATGAAATAAATTGAAATTATATAAAATTAATTGAAACACACTAAGGTGAAAGGAACTTAAAATTCGACAAATTGTTTTTATTAAATTTTAAAATAAGTTGAATGAAAACAACGAAATAAAAAATATTTAATTTAACTTGATTTTTTAAAGAAAATAATGAAATAATTAAGCAAAACTACTGTCGGATTTCGTTATTATCCTTTTATCCTTCGTGACAAGTGTATATACGATTTGTAATTTTTATAATATAATTTTCCGAGACAATTCCATCAGACAACTTTCGAAAATATTTTTATTTAAAATGAAGATTCCTATAAAATCATAAATAACAAAGATTTGAGCAAAATTCAAAAACAACACCGGCATATATTGCCCAAATTATAAATTTTTTTATTACTTGATTCTTTTTTTGATATGTTATAATGAAAGTATCTCAGTATGCTTTGGTAATATTGGTTGTTGTTTGGTCCACATCATTTTAATTGCATTTACTGGGCATGGGTTTTTTATGAGGGAGTGTTTTGAGTTTTTTTTAAGTATGCTGTGATTGCTCAGTCGACATTGCTATATGGGTGAATTTACTTTAGTACTGTTTTGGTGGATGATGAATTGTGATTGTTATTGTGTGCATGGAGTTTGTGTTTGTGAGGGTTTTGTTGGTTTGAATACATTTATTAAACTGCATAAGATCGTACAATGTAATGTCGTTAGTTCAAATATGTACAGAGTTGCAAAAACAGAGGAATATAATAATGTAAAAAAATAGCAAGTGTGTAAGATATATAAAGTGTAGGAGAAATACAGGGTATTATATTTTCGTTCATTTTACAACACTCTCCCTGAATGAAACATTTCCAAAATCAAATAATTTCTCATACACTCTTTACAATAAAAAAATAAGAGATCAAAAAATAAAATTAACAATTCAACTTAAATTCAATATATACTATGTGGGTTAGTAAAGACCAAAATACTCTACAAAATAATTTAATTTCCGAGAAGTAACAGCTTTCGTTAATACGTCGGCAACCATCTCGTCTGTGCTCAAGTATTCCAAAACGACTTCCTTCTCATCAATTTTTTGTCTGATGAACTTGGCCTTTATGTCCACATGTTTTGTTCTTGGTGAGTAGTTATTGTTAAGAGCGACTTGTAAGGCGCCCTTGTTGTCACAATATAGCAACATACTTTTGCTACTGTTAGGGTTGAGTTCAGCTTCAAGGCGTTTCAGCCAAACTGATTCTTGAATGGCAGCAGTCAGTGACATGAACTCGGCTTCCGTCGAAGATAATGCCACTGTCTTCTGCTTTTTTGTGGACCAGGAAATTGCGCCTGATTGGTATACAAAGAGTGATTCCCTTGTCGATTGTACCTTTTAAATACCTCATCACGCGTTTAACTGCTTCCCAGTGTGGTTTACCAGGATTTGTTCCAAATCTACGAAGTACATTTACCGCATAGCAAATGTCGGGTCTAGTAATCTGGGCAGCAAACAATAGGCAACCAATCGCATGCATATATCGTCAACATAAATGGCCACGTACAGCTTTAGGCCATCACTTATCCTATGGTAGACGCATTGGTCCACTTCACCTCTCACAAGACCCATTTTCAGCAATTCGTTGTTGATAGTCTCGTTCCAAACGCGGCCTGACTGTTTCAGACCATAAATTGATTTCCGCAGCTTGCATACCCTTCCGGAACCATCATCGAACATTTCAGGTTGTTGCATAAAAACAGTCTCCTTCAGCGTACCATTTAAATATGCGCTTACTGCGTCCATTTGGTGGATAAACATATCATTCTTAACAGCCAACGCCAGCAAATAACGGATGGAATCATACCGGACAACAGGTGAGAAGGTTTCCGTATAGTCGATTCCTTCACGTTGTGAAAAACCTTTCGATACCAGTCTAGCCTTCCAACGTATGGGATTACCACCTTCATCTCTTTTCGTTTTGAACACCCATTTCGATTTTATGGCTTTTTCACCTGGTGGTAAGTGGGTTAGCACCCACGTTTTATTTTCAATTAACGAATCGATTTCTTCTTTCATTGCAGCTTTCCATTCACTTGAGTAGTCTGATGAAATTGCGTCCTTCACTGTGACTGGATCTTCAGAAATATACTGCATTGCACAAAAATTAGTTGATCGCTGATTTCTATTGGCAATTCGATCTGACCGACGGACATTTTCCTCAGCAGGAATACTCTGAGCTTCATATGGGTTCGGAGCCCATTCACCACCATCATCTTCCACGGGTGATGCCATAGGTGACGACCACTCAACAGAGTCATCAGAACTGCTGTCACCTGTTTCATCATTTGTTGAAGTGTTCGATTGAATTTGAACAGGTTCTACGACAGGTGTCGATTCAACTTCGGTGCTGCTCTCCCCTGAATCGACATTCTCATAAGCCTGAAGCAATTCAGGATAATAAAAATCAGCATTCATTTTCAAACTGATCTTGCTTTCCTCCAAGAACACTACATCACGGCTTGTAATTATATTGTAGTCCTCGGGATTGAAC